ATTTTTTTTATTTTTTAAAAAAATATTTTTATTGATTTCAGGAGTGAGAGGAAGATAGAAACATCAGTGATAAGAATCACTGATAGGCTGCCTCCTGCCTCCTGCACGCCTCTACTGGGGATGGAGCACACAACCCAGGCATGTGCCGACTTCCTGGTTCATAGTCAACCCCTGAGCCATGCCAGTCAGGCTTGCCAACTTGTTTTGGAATCCTCACTTCTAAGTTTATTTCCACAAAAGAATATCTTAGTACATAAAATGTTTTTCACTTATTTAGCACACTCTAAGGCAGTGATGGCGAACCTATGACACGCGTGTCAGAGGTGACACACGAACTCATTTTTTTGGTTGATTTTTCTGTTAAATGGCATTTAAATATATAAAATAAATATCAAAAATATGTCTTTGTTTTACTATGGTTGCAAAGATCAAAAAATTTCTATATGTGTCACGGCACCAGAGTTAAGTTAGGGTTTTTCAAAATGCTGGCACGCCAAGCTCAAAAGGTTCGCCATCACTGCTCTAAGGCAACTTATTTCCCAAGTTCTACTGGGACACTTAAACCCAATAGTTCTCTGTTGAACTTCTCATAAAGATCTCCAGATTTGGGTGTCAATTGAATCTCCTGACATCCAACTTAGTATAATTCTTTGTATTCATAGGTTTCAGGGGGCTGGTGTGAGTAACTGTCACAGATTGAAAGTGAACTCTGTTGCCTCACACATCTTGTATACGCTAATGAACTAGGGAGGTTTCTTAGGAGAGAACTACACCTAAGGAAAAAGAACCAGACAGAAAAGATCTTTCCATGATGCTAAACAGAGGGGATTTCTCCACACTTTTATGGAATAGTGTGAGGATTCAATTCATTGGGAGTTCCAAAGAAATCAGTGTGACTTTCTCACCTTGAGGATTCCTGAACATCAATACCAAGTAGAGAGAATGGGAATGGGCAAAGCAGCAGAGAAATAGAAGTACCTATTTCTTAGCTCAGGGGACTTGAGTATAGGACACATGGCTTCAAGAAATTCCCCAAATAGCTGAAGGGAATATTTAAAGGGATGGGTCATGCATATCCAGTGGGAACAAGAGCTTGCAAAAAGCTCACAAACTTATTGCATTAACAAGAACCCACAGTAGCCCTGGGAAGTGATATTATCTTCATCTTGATAAATACAATAATTTTTAAAGAGATAGGTCTCATTATAGATCCAGAGGTAAGCTAAAACGGATTCTGACAGGAATGTTTAGTAAGTGTTCAGATGGCTTTTATCATGTGGCCAAGCTATTCCATTAGGTAATATGTTTGGTTTTGAAAAAATGAGAAAATATAGATAAGAAAATAAATGCTTTTTAAAATTGCTTTATTAACCACAATATGTAATGAGCATCGTTCCATGCAATAGATAAAACTCCCCTGCTCACAGAAACTTACAAATTGGGTCAAAACACAACATTCAATTAGAAGCTGGTATTGGGAGACCCACAGGAAACAAGTAACACTAAAGGTTTACAAGAAGGTACATCACAAACAAGTTTAGGAAGCTGTTTCTCCCTATTAACTTCAGGGAAAACATCAGGATTCAAGGCATAAGGCAAAACTCATCGTGATGGTCATGGTGAGGGGGGTCGGTGCTAACTGCCCGCAGACTATGACTTAACTGCTTTCCCCTCAGCTTTTCCATCAGCTGCCTCATCTCCTCCCCAACTCTTTCCCTATTCTCCTGTCTCATCCTTGCCTGTGGCTCTCCAAGCCTCTGACCCCCGTCCCATCTGTACTGCAGGACGGGCTGCCTAACACGGAACCGTCTACGATTTCCTCGTGGCACACAATATTCACCAGGCTCTCCTTTATTAGCATCTTGCTCCTTTTCATCCTTTATTTCGTTTTCCTGGTTGGCATTTTCCACGTTGAGATTTTTAACCACTTGTTCCTCTTTGGACGCCATTACTCCTAGGAGAGACAAGAGATAGAAGGGACTACTTCATTGGTAGACTGATCAGCACCGAGGACAGAGGCCCTACTATGCACCTTTCCGGATTCAGAGGCCTGAATTTCAAAGACTTTTTAAAATTGTATTTTCCCCACCTGAGAGGCTGCCTACGCCCTCTAGGGGGCCTCCAGTCCCAGCTCTCCCCCTCCCTCTGACTCCCCTCCCATCCCTCGCCCCAAACCCACCATTTTCCCTGCGATCCAAGCCCAGGCCTCTGCAGGCACCAAAATGGAGGACGGGATGGGGGTGGGGTAAGGCTTTGGGGTCTCAGGGCTTTCCATTCAGTCCCGCCCCCCGACCACCGTACCCCACACCCACCTGGGCCTATCCTTGCAGGCGGCTCCTCCTCCCGATTCTCGCCTGGAGCGCGCGGCCGCGACTCTGGGACCCGAAGACCTGCAGGGGCCGGCGAGGGGGAGCGGGTGGCGCCGCAGCCGAGCGCTGGGCCCAGCGGGTGGCGCCCACCGCCACGACCGCCCCGTCCGCCCCGTCCGCCCCCGCCACGCACGCCCCCGGCCCGCCCCGGGCTCTCATGCCAGCCGCCCCCACCCCGCGCTGCCCACCGCGCTCGACACCCAGGAAGATGGGGGCGGGGCGGGGGCCCAGAGGCAGGTGCTCCCCGAGGGTCGTCGCCCTGGGCCGCCCAGCGCGCCCCCGGGGAAGCTCGGCGTTTTCCGCAGACACACTCGCGCCGCGTCGGGGAGTGGGGGGCTGCGGTCTCCCATGCGCTTCGCCTTGATCAGCCCGACCCCTCGGAGACTCCTCCAGCCGGTTCCGCTCGCCACCGCCGCACTCGCTACACGCCCCGGTTTCCGCTGTATGCTCCTTTACTAGCCCCGCCTCCCGCCT